TACTAAAGAAGCCAGATCTAGCTATGCAAAGCCTGGAGCAAAGTGCAAAGGCCGTTAGTCAGGCCTTAACAATTGAGAGCCAGATTCGCCTCGCAGTTTGACAAACAGCGGTCTATAGCGACGTTCTATGGCAATTATTACAGTCCCGCGTGTATTAGGAAAACAAGTCATAGCAACACACTGTGTAGTTGTCAGGGAGTAGGAACATCATAACCATGGGGATTCTTACTTTCTACACAAACACGGGAGAGGAAGACAAACCACTGCTTCATGGAAGGGCAATACTATTAGGCCTACCGCCTGTACATAGACAGGAGCCCAGGAGAGGTCACGTGTATGCATCATGTCCAAATAGCATGAAGATATTCCAGAAATCATTTATTTCATGTTGTTTTATGCTGCATCCAGCTATGTTTTATATGTCTACCCGGAGTAATAATTTCAGGTTTTTTTTCCGGTTGTAATAAGTGGGAAGAATAGAAAATATCATCTTCACACGATCATGTGGATCTCACATTGAATAGGTGTTGGAAATGCATTTTACATATACTTCTAAAGCTTGACAGCATTAAAGAGTATGTAAACCCAACATTTCATAATTCTGATAGGTGCCTGCTGTACCATGTACTAGGAAAAAGTATCCTATTCTCTTTGTATTGCTTCCTTAATGTGAAATCCCTGGTGTGCCTGTCAGTCCCTCTGTGTTCCTATTGAAAAATAACAACACTAGGCATAAGAGCACAGCATGGTCAGTTCTCTGGCAGGGCTGTGCCTTCCCTCCTCCAAGGATCAGATTTTTTCACCTGGAAATTCAGTGGCTGCTGTTTCTCCTCCCCCAGCTTTCTGTTCTTAGTTGCATAAGGAGCTTAGAGGGAATGTAATCACTTAGGCTCCATGTACACGGGACATTTGTAAAACACTTCTGAACGATGGAAACTGACTGCTAGAAAAGTAGGTTAAAAAAAAAACGTCTGTTAAGCCGCGTTTGCATACCGCGTTTATGAGCGTTTGCGTTTAGAAGCGTTTTTTTTTAATATGACTTCAGGAGACCTTCCAAAATGCCCAGAATGCACTGAAAAACAGTAAAAAATTAACTATTTCAGACATTTTGAGAGAAATAGAGAGAGCAGAAGCAAAGAGAGCAGTATGTGTTGAGATTAGCTGTCTTTTTTTTTTGGTGTTTGGATGTGTTCCAGCTCATTTCTGTGCAGAAGTTATTGCAGCAGTGTCTAACCCATTTTTTTTTTCATGCGAAACCTCAGAGTATGGTGTACCAGGTCCATTTGAGTACCGGGAAAACGCTTTGCATGCATTTTTCGTGATGAAAAAAGGCTCTGGACAGCATCTGGAAATGGAAGAGTTAAAAAAACTTCCAAACGCAAACGCTTACAAATGCAGTTAGCCGCGTTTACAAGCGTTTGGTAAAATCTACTCCTGAATGTAAGTTTGCTGCATTCAAAAAAATGACTGTAAACTCAACTGCCTGTAAATGACTGTAAAAGACATAGTGTACATAGACACATAGGAAAACATTAGGAAAAGTTCAGGGGCTGCTGAAAAAACGCAGAAAAGCTCCTAAACGTGAGTTTAGAAGCTGCAGTGTATATGAAACCTTATAAAACAGGTAAAAAAAAAGGTATATATAATGTTTTTTTATATCTGTACACAAATGTTTTGCCTTTTGTTTCTATTTTAAAATGAATGGGTTGTTTTACAAGGTGAAGGTTTACATACGAGGTGGTATCAAAAAGTTTGAGTTTTGTAACATGCCAACAGATGGCAGCACAAGGCTGCATGCACAGTCACAGGAGAACCCAACTTTATAAGTCAGTGTGCCAAAAAAAGACATCGTCCCTGTGTGGGAGCTGTGCAACTGGTGCTATTCTGACCACCTGTGTTACCACGTCTGCTATTTCATTATGGACAGCAAGGTAGAACAAAGAGCAAACGTGACATTCTCCGTGAAACCCGTACACCCAAGTTTCGTCACTAGTAATGATCCTCTACATGAAGGATGGGTCATCCATGGCACACTGACAGAGTTCTTGGCAGACTTCGACACGGTGTTCCTTCTGTTTCTGGGTCAGTAGCCTTGGGATGAATGTGGCAACAACATGGCGCATGTTCAAATCACACGTGAGGATTGCCTGGACTGTTCCTAATGACACACCTGCAATGGCAGCAATGTTGTGGATTGTTCTCCGACAGTCATCATGCACAAGTTGCCAAATGGTTTCAAAATTTTGGGGGCAGGGGCGGACTGACAACTCATGGGGCCCCCGGGCAATAGGGGATCATGGGACCCTGTATCCTTGCCCAATCTCAAAAAAGCCTATGAAAAAGGTGCCAGGGGCATCTCATGGGGCCCCCTACTGACCCCGGGCCCTCGGGCAGTGCCCGAGTTTCCAAATGGTCAGTCCGCCCCTGTTTGGGGGTAAGGCACATTGAAGGTCTTCCTGATCTCTCATTGTCTTCCAGTGATGTTCTTTGGCATTTGATGCTCACGTGCCGAATTATGTCAAACATCCCTGTGGAAGATTTGCCCAGTGTCACGCAGAATTTCACATTGCTCTTTGTTCTAACTTGCTGTCCATAACGAAATAGCAGACAAGGTAAAGCACATGGTCAGATTAACACCAGTTGCAGAGCTTCTGATGTTCACAAGACAATGTCTTTTGGGACACTGACTTATGAAGGTCAGTGCTCCCAGTGACTATGCATGCAGCCTTGTGCTGCCATCAGTTGGTGTGTTACAAAACTAGTCTAGAACATTTTTGATACTTAAATGTTTCCTGGATCTGATGGCTGCAAGCAAAATGCCTCCTCTTTTAAAGAATTTTGAAACATTCATTTGTATTTGTTTAAATGATATTTTAAAGCTGAAGTTTAGGTATGGAAATCTTTGTGTAATTAAATTGGTCCAATTTGGATGAATGTAAGTATGTATGTACCGTACCGGTGGGATCCCTGTGGACGCTGGAAATCACTGTAGTGAACATCGCTGCTACAGAGATCTCCACTGGCTTCCAGGTTCCATGCTGAGTATCTGCATTGTGAACACGGGGGTTTGCTTACTTGGCATGGGTACCATTCAGAGAAAGCTTTGCATATTCTCAATGAATGAAAGGCAATCTCTGATTGGATGAGGTAGAGAAGCGAGGCTGTGACATTGTAATCTCCTCCTCATTCAATCAGAGAATACTTTGCATTTGTTAAGAGTGTGCAGAAAGGTCTAGAACTATTTGTGCAACCTGAATGAAATGTCACCATAATTTTTCGAAGAGACTAATTACTGCATCTAGTTGCCAAAACATGGTGTAGTCTTCTCATTGAAGTATAACAAATCAATAGGTTGAGATCTGGTGCCTAAATGCTATGCCTCCAGCCAGGGGCGGACTGACAACTGATGGGGCCCCCGGGCAATAGGAAATCATGGGGTCCCTGTGTCCTCTCCCACACTAAAACCACACCCAAAAAATCCTATGAAAGGTACTAGGGGCATCTCATGGGGCCCCCTACTGACCCCCGGCCCTCGGGCAGTGCCCAAGTCACTAAATGGTCAGTCCGCCCCTGCCTCCAGCCCTTATGTGTACATACATAAACCAAATCAGATGTCCATGGGACTTTCCCTCATTTTAACACTCATGGACATTTGATTTGGTTTATGTACGTTCTCATCAAAGTATTTCAGAAAACTATACCACATTTTGGCCACTAGATAGCGCTGGCGATACAGGCATTAATCTCTTGGAAAAATTGTGGTGACATTTCATTCAGCTTGCACCAATGCTTCTGACGTTACACATTACAGAAACAAAACATCTTTGCCATTGTTTTAGTACCATAGAGAGAGGAGAACCTCTGTGAGTTTTTTATTGCTCACTGTGCCCCCTTTCAGAAGGTTTGCCCTGTCAGGTGTGGAGGGGGTGCCTATGTTTATATATTCATATATTTATTTCATTTTGGGTACAGTAAGGGAGGGTTATATCCCCTGTCAGTTGTTTTACCATCTGTGTCCCATTGGGGAAATTTCCCTTTACTTCTTGTCCCATAGCCAAAGCAGGAAGAGAGACAACATGCCTCCAAAGTGGAATCCCTAGTTGTCACCAGAGTAACCAGAGTCACCCAATTGGAAGATTTCCCTTCTATTACTGTTCTGGGGACAACCCAAAATTTGGGATTTTCTTTTACATCACGTTCAATGATAATGCTAAAAGGGACAAATAGAGAGGGTGAATCTCCCACAGACAGCAATAAAAACCTGACAGGTGTTCTATTCCCTCTCCACTCTGCCTTTAGTTATACTTTAAGATTTGAATGAGGATAAGGATTTTGGTGAGAGTCGAGGTTATGTTTTAGGGTCAGGTTATCAATAGTGATAGAAATCAGAGATGTTTTGAAATAAATCATTTTTCACTTGCTTTAGGCGCTCATGGAACTACCAGAATAGGTAGTATTTTAATTGACAGTTATTATAACTATTTTTATAGAACCGTTTTTAGAGGATATATTCATCTGTATGATAACAAAAGATCCTGAGTTTCCACAAAACTCCATCTCAGTTTTCAATTTGTATTTAAAATTATAATATTACAGTAAATGGGACAACGAAGAACACATTGCATAGCACCATTATAGCTGTCACAAGTAAAAGGCATAGAAATATACGAAGGCAGCAAACTTCTTTCTAAAGTTTGAGTGCCATGAAAATGAAGTGGAGCTGTGCCCGCACTGCATGGGTTAATTGCTCTTTTTTGTCTAGGTGAGAGGAGTAAGGAGATATACTTACTCGATCCTCCGATCCTCCCAGAGCAAGACTGGTCTGGCACCCCCCACACTCCAGAGGTCTTGAGTTGTGGACTGTTCCTGACATTGTCAAGCCCAGAGCAGGCTCCATAAACCAGGGACATTCTACCAGTGGACCATGGGGGAGCACTGTTTTCCATTAGAACAAAGGTTTGGGTGAGTATAAGGTTTCTCCTCACCCCTAATCACACTAGTGCAGGGGCGGACTGACAACTCATGGGGCCCCCGGGCAAAAGGGGATCATGGGGCCCCTGTGTCCTTGCACACACTCAAAAAAGCCTATAAAAAAGGTACCAGGGGCATTTCATGGGGCCCCCTACTGACCCCGGGCCCTCGGGCAGTGCCCGAGTGCTTGAATGGTCAGTCCGCCCCTGCGCTAGTGTGAATGAGTCCTAACTAAACTGTATTGGTTAAAAGAACCTTTCCAAAGGTGTAGTCTGTCATATGCATCTAAAAGCATTAACTATGTTTTTTATTTGCCATCTGAGTCTATATGATTATTTCTTTGTGAACCTCCTTCAGTCTCAGAGTATTTTTTTTTTCTTTTTTGGCAATGTCTGGGTTTCGCACATGTGTTTACAGCCTACCCTAACATATTATACGTTGTTTTTTTTCAGGACAGACAGGGCTTTAATTTTTTTTAGCAAATTTTAATACGTATATTTATATTTTCTTGACATTTTTTTAAATTATACAGTATATAGGAAAAACAAATAGAAAAAAAGTTTTGACTCAATGAGGAAAGTGTCAGACCTCTGCAGAGAGATTACTGCTTCCTCACAGAAGACAATGGTCCTTTGTACACCTTTGCTCATGCACTAATTTAAATGAAAAGTTCAGGTAGACTTCAGGACTTTGCAATGAGCAAGGATGACGTGCATAGACTTTATGTTATCTAGGTAGTTGATCAGATTGTACTTTACTGTTCTTACACTAGTGTAGCGGGCCATTGCTATTTCCCTTTTAAAGAACTGTTCCTTTTAAGACCGCATGTTGTCAGAAAGGGTTTGATTGGCTCAGCTCTCAGCAGTACTGGAGTGTTTGTGGGAGTTGCAGTTTCATCACAGAGGCAGACAATGTAACTTTATACTGCACAGGACTACAGGACCAGGAGGCTTTGCAAGGAGGAGGGAGAGGAGAGCCAAGTGTGCCTTTGCAGAGGACATGTCTGCAGCCCCTACTGTTGAAGTACACTGACACTGTTTCCACAACAGCAGAGGTTGCTAAGGACAACAATTATCTACAGCAGCTGTGAGTCAGCAGCAACTGTGATCATTGGTACCAGTCACCCGCGACGGCAGTTACCGACAGCAACGACATCTCCCACCGCAAAGAGAGAGGTCAGAGTGTTGGAAATCGCAGAGGAAACGTGTGACCATCCCAGGTGAGATTGTGCAGCACTGACAATTGACAACAGAAAAGAACTAGCCAGAGAGACAGAGCCCCATCATCATCCCTTCAAGGAGTTAATCCCTGGAGACTGTTCTTCTTGCATGTGCTGAGCAGCTGCTAACCCGTGACATGTCAGTCCTTAAGAGCGCTCCACCGATTCACTAACACAGGCCTGTGCAACACATAGACTCACTCAGTGTTACAACCCTACAGTATACAAGTGAGTTTGGGACTGAGCCTACAGAGATGTCAGTTTAGCTGGGGACATATTGCTGCTATAGTTGCAGGGGGTTAATACTGATCTATAGCTATACCGGTATATACGTATATACATGAATATTGTGTTTATTGATGTTATTGTGCCAATTCTAGAATGATTGTGTATTCAGTGCATTTAACTGCTATTTTCCATGTTAATTTGCAGTCTATTTGCAGAGTTTTACCTGTCTTATTAAACCTGTTATAAAACGTCCCACAAGGTGTACTGGTGTGCTGTGGATCCAATATATACATATGGTTCATTACTGATGTAAGGACAGAAGTGCCCGTTAATTCCAGCGGCTTCTTTGGGGGGTGAGCACTACACTAGTTAAAACATTATTCTGGTTGGTTGAAATCGGTTTATTTGCACTACATTATTGAAGCCGGTTACCATTACAATGCAAAGTTTATACTTGTGTATACCATAAACTGTTTTTATGATTATCAACACTATGGGGCTGATTTATTAAAGACGAATAGACAGTGCACTCTGCAGTGCAGTTGCTCCAGAGCTTAGTAAATGAGATAAAGCTTTACTTTACAAAGAATACCCAATCACACGCAAGGATAATAAAAACAAATAGCATTTTTACTCAGGTGATTGGATGATGGAAGTCGGCAGAGCTTCCCCTCATTTACTAAGCTCTGGATGAACTGCACTTTGCAAAGTTTACAGTCTATTTGCCTTTAGTAAATCCACCCCATTGCAATGTATGAAATCACACTATATTTTAGCTTAATTGGAATTACTAACACAACTGTTACTGATGTATGGCTGGTGCTCATATTAAAACTCTGGTACTGTCAGGAGGGAGATTGCCTAGGGCAACAAATGATACTTGGAATTGCAATTTCAGATTGCTAATGCAGGCTGTCTCTGTCTCTGTAGAACACATTCATGTTAAAGTGAAAAATTAGCATTTACTGCCTGCACCTGGTATATGCAGTCTTCAAACAGGGGCTTTAAAACCATACCATAAAATCATTTGCTTGTCCTAGAGTACCCACTTCTAGGGTACCCACAAAATACACAAAGTAGGAACACAGTATTCATGTATTCTGAGCAACCACTACATTAGTATTTAGTAGATATATTCTTCAACCAGTAGATGGCAGTGTTTATAAGTGTGTAGCTGCATCTGTGGTATATATGCTTTATGTCTTTTCTCTAAAATAAAGTTTCCTGTCTCCTGCTTGCAGGGAAACAGCAGATAAACACGTTGATTGTGCACTGTCTGTTTTGTAGGGCCATATACAGAATTGCTAACACACAATGTGCAAGATTTTCACAGTACTTAGGCCTCGTTCATACAGGCAGCAAAAAACAGGCAGTCTGGCCTCATTTTTAGCACTCCCCAACCGTTTGGCAATGCCCTTTATTGAGGCATGCATCTGCACTGTCTCACATTGAAGTGAGGCAAAAATAATGCTGCCTGCAGAATTAGTCAGGTTTTGAAGCTTTAATAGAAGGTACATATAAGTGCAGCACTAATCAAAAAAATGAAAAATAGGTAAATATTACTTACACCTATTATTAAATAATCAAACGCTGAGCGCCAACAGTTGTCAAACGGGCTTACATTACAAAGGGAGACAAAACATGACAGAACATACCAATACATGCAAAACATGAGGGGATTAAAATAATCAAACGCTGAGCGCACAGTGTCAAACGGGATTATACATCAAACAAGCATAAACAATCATAATAAATTGTGTATCAGAAGCACATAATAAATACAAAGTGAAAAATGTCTTAGCATAAAGTATAATACAGTCCAGGAATAATCCTCATGTGCATTCCACTCCAAATGGACCTTCACCACCGTGCTCCACCCAAAAAAGGTTACCAGAAGAATATGACTCTCTAAGGATAGAGAAGTCATATAATGCATAAACCAAGATTAGCCTCTAGTCAGCAATGGTCTTCCCTGGTCAATAAGCAAGCATCAGAAATGGAAGAGATCCAATGGCACAAGAACCAAACCAATGGTCACCCCTCCTCAGCCTTGATCCACTGTAAACCTCACATACATGTTAAGCCCTTCCTCATGTGCCTCATGACCCTTTATGTGGATCAAAATGCTGGGAGGTAGGCATTCCAATCATGTGACTGCTGCGATTGGCTGCCAAAAAATTGCCCCCCCCGGGCCGCTCTGATGCCCCATGAAAAGACCACACCTCTTCCGCCACATACATGCCTAAAGGCTTCCTGGTGGAGTGGAGAAGAGGAGTAAAAGGTCTCAGCCAGTGTCCTACCGAGTGCGGGATGAGGACAAGGACCAGGCGCAGGTCCCCACCCCCCCCCCCCCCCAGTATGGCTGGTGCGTGCTGTGTCCAAGTTTCTCCTCCCCCGACCAAGCTGCCCATGCTCCTCACTGCAGCCCCCAGCCACCCTGAGGAACCCAGAGATGGTGCAGCTGGCTCTGTCCAGCTCAATTTGCCTGGTGAGCAGAGCGCATCTTAAGCCAGAGATGGGAATCGGGAGGAGGCACGGAAGAGGGAGAAGAGGAGGGGGGCTGAGTGTGCGTATAGCCAGCAGGAAGAGGTTAAAAAGAGAAAAAAGAGCTGGGGATGCCCACATAATGTAAAATCAACTAAGATTTTTGCTCCAGATGCGGTAAAACCACTTACATAAATAACACTGAATAGCTTTGCAAATGCTTCCATTGACTTCTTTTGCAGCACATCTTTGACAGCTGTAAATGTGCACTTAAGTATAGAGGGAGTATAAGGAGCATTGCTTGAAGCAACTTGAATGCATGTGCAAAGCATCTGAAACGGGTATTATTGCTATAAGCTTGTTAATGTGTGTTAAAGGCAGCGTTAAAATTCAATGCCTCTGAGGACAAGGTAGTGTTAGATGCACTAACAGATTTAGCTGGACTTGACTAACAAATTACAACCAAACTCCACTTTTTAAGTAGTTACAGCAACAGCTTTCTTTTTTTTGGTATAAAGCTTTTACATTGCATGTAGGTGAATAAAAGCAGACCATTGTAAGCACCACCTGTCAGTGGTATATGATTTATCTCAACCCTCTAACTGCCATTTTTGCTGGACAGCTTGGTCTGTTAAAATAAATTGAAAAAAAAAATAGACGTGCTGGCTAGATCACCAGATGGAAATAAAGCTAAAAAAAAATAAAAGGAATGTAGCCACCACATCTAATAATTGGTAAACTATAATATATTTTTTTTTATTTTTTGGATTTAATACCTTTTAAAGCAGTACCCTGACTTTCATCTTGAATTCTTCCTGAGAAAATAGCAGTGCCCCTCCTGGTATGTGAATGTGCCCAGACACGTCTGTACCTACAGCCTCATAGTAGTATATCTGCAGTGGAAAATTAACCTAATGTTACTCTGATTGCTAGTCTCACAAGATTTGGAATGAAACTTTATTATGTTACTACTGTGCTGTACTGTTCTCCTTGCTGGAGACTTAGACATAAGGAAGCAAATCCCTACCTCTACAAAATGGTCACTTCCACAGAGAGACGCAATGCATGGCAAGATTTGGAATGAAACTTTATTATGTTACTACTGTGGTGTACTGTTCTCCTTGCTGGAAACTTAGACATAAGGAAGCAAATCCCTACCTCTACAAAATGGTCACTTCCACAGAGAGACGCAATGCATGGTAAGTCAGTAATGGGGAAAAGATCGACTGCTAGGAGACCAATACTGGACACTAGTCCTTTGCCCTTTGCCTGAATTTTGT